AATGCGAACCGAAAAACGTAGCCTTCCGCCCCGAAAAGCTCCCAGGAGGCCCCCGCCGCCGCACGAGGCCTGCAAGAAACCCAAAAGAAGCCTGAGGAGGCGCTTTAGAGCCCCGATTCGGCCCCCAAGGGGCCTCCAAACAGACTCCCAGAGGCCCCCGAAAGGCCCCCCACATGATCCCAACGAGCAACCAATAGGTTTTATGCCCACAGCCCAGGCACGGTAGCGGGATAGGCCGGGGGCCATTCGAAAGTATCATTTGACAGGGGTGGGGTGGTGGGGGGGGGGGGGGTAGATGTTGGCGTGTCTTGGATGGTGCGAGCTCCGATTTAGAAACGACGATGGGGCATGCTCGTGCGGAATGTCCACACCCCCAAAGTGAACGGATCCCCACTCATTTCTACACAGGAAAACCTGCGCTGCGCAGTTCACCCTGCTGAAACTGACGTCGTCGGCTCCATTGTTCGCTCAATCGTCTCACCTGCCCACTGGCAGCTTGACTGCAAAACCTATGCGGCGGCGACTGCGATGACTGCTTGGCGCCGGCTGGCGAATCGCCGCAGCCGCTCCTGCGCGCGCAGAACGCGCACAGAGCGACTGGCTCCTCTGGCGCGACCGACGCGGCCGCGGCGGCGCTGACCGCCGAGGGTTTCCAAGCGCGTCTTGCACGCCGCTCCGACGCTCGGGCACGTCTGCGCGAGTCGGTGCCTCGAGCGGGCGCGCTACCACAGCGACGTCAACAACGGCCGCGGAGGCCGCGCCAACGTGCGTGTGCTCGCGCGCGCAGAGCGGCCGGCTTGCGAGGCGGCGACGGCGGCAACATAACCGCCAGACCGACAGACAGGCCCAGGCGACGGGCGGCGACTAGGCGGCGACGGTGGCATCATAGCCGCCAGACCGACAGACAGGCCCAGGCGACGGGCGGCGACGAGGCGGCGACGGCGGCATTATAGCCGCCAGACTGACAGACAGCCCAAGTTCCTTAGAAGAAGTGATGACCCCTAATGCACGCACTTTTTCTCCTGGCAATCTACAGATATCTAATATGCATTTATCAATGTGTATATATACACACATCTCTATAATGTAAACAAATGTGTCTGCCCCCTACTCCACTCAGTATAACCTTTATGATTTGGTTGCCCTCTCTCTCTTTCGCTCTCTCTGTCGTTACTCTCTCTCTCTCTCTCTTTATCTCCCTCTCTCTCTCTCTCTCCCTATGTCTATCTCGTTTTGTTTATCTCTCTCTCTCTCTGTCTCTTTCTCTTTGCTTCCTCTCTCTCTCTCTCTCTCCCTCCCCCCAAATATTCAGAAACTGATATACGCGTTCCCCATTCTTCCGCAGATACACATCCACACCCTCGACTCTCTCCCTGCCCTTCCCTATCCTTTCTTTCTCTCTCTCTCTCTCTCTCTCTTTCTCTCCCTCCCTCTGTCGCTATGTATAGAAGGCCTATTGGGAACCTCTTGGGTCTTCATGGGGGCATCTCAAGGGCTTCTGGGGGGTTCGCCGTGCCTCCTCAATAACCTGTTGGAGACAGATCTTGGGTACTTCTTGGGGGGGCGTCTTGGGGCTTCTCGAGGTCCCTGGGGGCATCGTCGGGGATCTCTGGGCAATCGGAAAATGATGTTCTGCAATATGAAGCCGTCATTGGCCGTCTTGGCTGCGTGGAGACCCGAATTGAAGCTACCTGGGGTCACATTGGGGCAATCTGGACTCCCGGGGGCCTCCTGGAAGCAGTTTTGATGTACCGAGGGCACTGTTCGGCAATCTTGGGGCGCCTGGTACGTCTCCTGGGGGCCTTTTGGGGACCCTTGGGAGGCTTTGGCGGGCCTCGTCGGACCACTTGGGAACTCTTGTGGCCTCCTGTGGGCCTCTGAGGGCGGAAGGCTCTGCTGTTGGGTTTGCGTTTCCCTTCCTGGGCCTCTCTTTGGGCCGTCTTTGGGCCCTCTCGGGCCGCTCAGGCACCGTCGCGGGGCCCTCGTGGCCCGTCTTGGGGCCCTCTTGGAGGCCTCTTCGGCTATCTTGGAGCGGTCTTGGGGGCCCCTTGGGCCTTCTTGGGGCGCCAGACAGACAGACAGAGGCCCGGTCAAACCACATGGGTTGGCCCGTAGACGGGCGAGGCTCCAGCACAGTGGCCTGAGCGCACACGTGCGTAAACGAAGAGCAAACGTTGTGCCTCCGAGGGGGGGAGGGGGGGGGGGAAGAAAAGAACGGGGGCGGTCCTCACTCGTGAATGCAATACTCGACGAATGCGTCCTCGTCACCATCGTGCACACTGTCATACCAGCGAGATACATTATGCAAGACATCGCGGGCGAATCCTTGAAGGCGGTCGTCCCATCTCGTCGGAGGGCGCCCGCGCGCCCTCGTAGCCCCATGCGTGTAGCGGGGGTTCCATACTATGACTTTCTGAGTCCATTCCGTGTCCGAGCATGCTGACCTGCACGCGAATCTGAACAGGCGGCGGCAATGCGATTCACTCCATTTTTCAATCGTAAGGATCTGCATTGCATTGGCGATTCTGTCCCTCATGCGTCTCATGGTGTCTGCCCAGCCCTCGCCCTCGCAACGCCTCCAACCAACAACCAAGCGAAGCATCTTATTCTGAAGGACGTCCAGGGATTGCGTGTGATGCTTGGTCAGGGCCGCAGCCGATAGTCCGAACAACAATGTAGGTGTAATTACTGATTGGAAAAGCTTCAGCCGCAGTCTTACGGATACGTTCTGGTCTGTGAGAACATGACGGTGTTCATGAAATTTGTGCCAAACTCGCTGGAATCGTCGACCCAAGTCGATATCGTTACGATGTTTCAAACTCCCGGGTATACTTTTCCCAAATGCTTGTGGACATCATTGTCTCCCATGACTTTCAGCATGTGCTCGCCAATCGCAATGAACATAGTATCCATCCCCTCCTCCGTGGTAAGAATCTGTGTCTACTCCGGATTTAGCTGGAGACCAACTGTGTCAAGCTCCTCAATAATAATTTCCATCATGGCGGCCAGCTCGTCGGCAATCAATCAACAACCAATGACAAAATCAAAACTTGAAGCGCCGTCTTGAAAAAAAACAATCAACAACCAATGGGAAAACAATGAGTTGCGCCTCTTCGGGCCTTCTTGGGGGTCCTCTTGGAACATCTTCGGCCCACTTGGGCGCTTCTTGGGGCCTCTTGGGGCCTATTGGGGGCCTCCTGGGGCTTCCTGAGGCCTCTCGGGGTTCAAGGCTTAGATGTTCGGTTCGTCTTACGCCTCTTGGGCCCCTCTTGGGGCCGTCTTGGGGCCCTCTCGGGCCGTCTTAGGCGCCTCAGGCACCCTCTTCGGGCCCTCGTGGGCCGTCTTGATGCCCTGTTGGAGGCCTCTTGGGCTATCCTGGAACTGTCTTGGAGACCTTTTGGGCCGTCTTGGAGCGTCGGGACGCCCAAAAGCTGGAACCTCGAAAACCAATCAAAAACCGATGGGAAGACAATGATTGTTGCCCCTTGGGGCCTTCGTGGGAGGCCTCTTGGAACCTCTTCGGCCCCCTTGGGCTTCTTGGCCGCTTCTTGGGGCCTCTTGGGGCACGTTATGGGTTTCTCGTGGCCTCCTGAGAGCCTCTCGGAATAGAAGGCTCGGATGTTCAGTTCGTCTTACTATCTTGGAACTGTCTTGGAATCCTTTGGGGCCGTCTTGAAGCGTCGGGACGCCCAAAGTCTGAAACCTTGAAGATCAATCAAAAACCAAGGAATAATAAATGATCCGTGCCTGTGGCTCCTTGGGAAGCATGTTGGAGGCCTCTCGGGACGTCTTGGAGGCCTCTTGGACAGTCAGGAGCTAATTCAGGGGTGATCTCGGGCCGTCATTGGTCGTTTTCACGGTTTGGAAGCGCCATTTCTGGCGATCCGAGGCCGTCTTCGAGGGATTATAACAAGCCCCCGACGCCACGGCAGGGCCCCCGGGGTACCCGGACCGAGGGGCCCGTCCCGGGCCCCGCCTCGTGCCCGCGGCAAGGCGTCCCTGGGCCGTCTCGGCGCCCTCGTGGGGGCCTGTTGGGGCGATATTTGGGTGTCCGGGACCGTCTTGGAGCGTCAGAAAGCAGAACAGGCATAATCGCCAAAATTCACCCAAAACCAAACGAAAATCATGATTTGGGCTTCGTAGGCCCCTTTTGGGAATGCTCTTGGAAACCCCTTGGGCCGTGTTGGAAGCCATGCGGGCCATCCAGATGCCATCTTGGGCGCGCCTCTTGGAGGCCTCTCGGGGCAGGTTTCACACGTTTTGGGGCAGTCTCGGGTCATCTGGGGGCGTCCCTGGGCCGTCTCGGCGCCCCCATGGAGAGTCAGGGCCCCCCTCCCGGGCCCCCCCGCCTCGTGCCCAGCGATGTATACATATGTTATCCGGATAGGCTTGCCCTATAGGAGTTCGAACTCAAACCTTACTAATTGGTTCGTTGCCCCCGTAATTCCTATGCCCGCGCCATTCCTATGGCTATGCCTATGCCGATGCCTCCCCCCTAACTCCTATGCCTACGTCTACGCCTACGCCTATGCCTATGCCTATGCCTATGCCTAATGCCTGCTTGCTTGCTTGCTTGCGCGCTTGCCCGCGTGCTTGCGTGCTTGCTTGCTTGCTTGCGCGCTTGCTTGCCCCCTTGCTTGCTTGCTGACTTGCGGATTCCAAGCACGCTTGATTCCTCTGATTCCTTGATTTGAATCATCTGATCTAGTTGGGGTCAACGCTGGCTGATTGTTTTATATATACAGATACAGACATACATCTACATCTACATATACACATGTATAAACATATCCATAACACCTATAAGTACGCATACATCTGTGAATGTGTGGGTCGTCCTCTTTCTCTCCCGCTCTTCCCTCTCTCCCTCTCTCTCTCTTGCTCTGTCTCTCGGTCTCTCTCTCTCTCTCTCTCTCTCCCTCTCCCACACTCTGTCTCTGTACCACTTATCCTTCGTTCGCTCTTCGTGGAAGCGTGGCACCCGCGCCATCCCCAGCGGCCTGGCTGCGCGCTGCGCGCGGCGGAGGGCTGTGGCCTCGCTGCAGCGGACGGGCCTGCCCGCAGTAGGTTTTGGTGCGGAGGTCTGAGACATGGAGGAGCAAGATACGCAATCAAAAGAAACTCCCCGAAGTCCGCATGGATTTCTTGGGTCAGCGCTGCCACCCCCGCCCGGGAGGTCTGAGATATGGACGAGCACAAGACACGTCAGAGATATGGTACAAACTCGTCTGGCGCGTGGAACGCGCCCGCAGAAGGCGCGGCCATGGGGACCCAGCGCCTATGCAAGAAATCTGGGCGGACCTCTGGAAGTGTAGGCTTATGCGGTATTTTTAGGTCGGGCATGTCCCCCTACAGGGGGATTTTCGATGAAAGATAAGAAATCATCAAAACATTATCAAGCAGAATCAGGAATATTAGAAAAGTCGTCCCCAGACTGTTGTTTGACTACTTTTGAATATTCCTGCGTAGAGGGACACGCCCGACCTGAGGTTACTTCTTCTTCGCAAGCAGCCCACCATACTGACGGGGCCCTGGGACACAGAAATAAATACACACAAACAACAGGACTCCCCATATTTTCCCATACTTTCTGGATCTTTGTCCCCCCCCCCACTGCCCATATTTTCCCATCTTTTCGGGGGAATCGACGATTCATTGTGCCTGTGTGTTTTTGCTCCCTCCTGAGTTACTTCTCCTTCTTCGTCTTCTTCTTCTTCGCAAGCAGCCCACCTTGGCGGCGCGCACAAGGGGGTGGGAGGAGGGGGGAGGCTTCTTAGAAGCAGGCTGCTTCTTCGAAGGCGCCGGCCTTACATCTATAGATGTAAGGCCCGCGCCTTCTAAGAAGCATGGGTGCTTCTAAGAAGCCCTCCCCCCTCCCCCCACCCCCCTCTGCGCGTGACTGGCCACCATACACCCTGCGAAATGCTTAAGAAATCATGGGTTAAGAAATTCATAGTCTCAGAACTGGAATAAAAACCCAACATTTCTATACAAATCTTAGGATTTACATTGAAACATTAAGAATAATCGAAACTCTGGCCGAAAACTTGGGTTTTCTTAAGCATCGCCTAAGGTGTACCCCTGCCGAGTGTGCAGAGAGAGAGAGAGAGAGAGGAGCAGGGGCGAAGATCCGCCACGCCGCCGCGAGGCACTGAGCAGAGCGCCCTCAGGTCGTCGAATACCAGTGGGGGCCTGTCCACAAGAAGCCCTCCACGAGAAGCCCAACCTTTGGAAGGCTTCTTGGAAGGAGGCTTCTTTGAATACCACACCCCCTGATCACGAGGAGGACCGAGGCGACCAGGAAAACCCGCTCCAGAGCCAACCATGCGATATCCTGAACTTTTCCTTTGCGGAGTACCCGGACGACCCGATTGGCGGCGCGCGCAGGAGAGTCGGGGGAGGGTGGAAGGCTTCTTGGAAGGAGGCCGCTTCTGAAGAGGCGCCGGCCTTACATCTGCAGAGAAGGCACGCGCCTTCTGCGCAGCAGGGGTGCTGCTAAGGAGCCTTCGCCCCTCCCCCTGACCCCATCTGCGCGCGGCCGAGAATACAGAGGAGGCCAGTCCACAAGAAATCTTCCACAAGAAGCCCAACCCTGAGACCCCAGGACGTCCATTGATTCCTGGTGCGCGGGAGCGTCACGCCTCCCGCGGCAGAACCACAGAGACCCACGGAGCCCAGGGCAGCCTGGAGGCAAGCAGGGCGCTTCCTGGCATGGGCCCCCCACTGGAACTGCTCGATAGTCCCCGCGCCTGGCGATGGCCCCCGGCAGCCCGACGCTCTCATCTCCGTGAGGGTGCCGCCTCGGCGGGCCCTCCGCGGCCCGGGCCGCGGTTCGACGGTCCGAGGAGACCGCGTGGTCACAACGGGACCCAGGCCAAGGACATCCGTCAAGAACATGGGGCCCTCCGTCGGCCAACGCACACAGAACATCCCAAGGTACCCTCCCCAGGATGCACAAGAACATGCTGTTCGTCGGCGGCGAGGCGGAGGCAATCCGCACCAGCGCGGGGCTAATCGGGGCAACCGGAAGGCAAGGGATGCACAAGAACAGCCAACAAGCCCTGAGAACACTAAGGCATCCTCCCCAAGCCGACCTGGATCTTAAACCTCGGTCCGACCGTACTCAACAAATGCTTGTGCAACTGCCGCTCTTCCTGAGGACCATGCACTGCGCAGGCTCACGTGCAAAGCCAATTCGAATCTGTCTCGAATCTGAAACGAGATCCGATCCCGCGGGAGGCCCAACCGGCAATGAGCATTCAGTATCGACGCAGTGCTGCCCTGACGGCGGTGTGAGCTGTATGCGGCATCTGCGCTCTCTAGTGCCGGTGCGCCGTCCAGGCGCCAGGCTTGCCAACTTGCTTGCTCACTGGGTTCTGCCCGAGAGGGGCCCCTTTTCTCATGCAGATAAATGTTGTTTAAGCATCGGAGTTTAGTAGGCTGATGCTGCATATTGTCTCCTCGACGGGAACGGTTCTGAGCTTCCATCTGCGGTGTTCCCGCTGCAGCGTCGGCCTCATGTCAGGATCAGCGCTTTTCGACTACACGCAAGAGTGACCCTGGGTAAGAGTGACCTTTGCTGCGCGGCTTTTTGGGGTCCGCGGGGGGGCCAAACACAAGAGCGCGCAAGACGCCACCGCCGCCTCGCGTTCGGCGATCGGGGGGCCCCATTGGGCCCGCACCAAAGGTCACTCCGGCGAAAGGTCACTCTTACGTCTACTCCAGATTTCGTAATAAAAGGAGGGGGGTCTCATTTCGGTGGGGGGTCTCTTCCAGGCTATCTTGGAGGGCCTGGGGGGTCTGGGGACGATGTTTTGGAGGGTTCTCCCACGGGGGAAGTCTGAAATGGCTTGTCTTGGAGGGTCCAGACCCCCTCCCTTTTATTACGAAATCTGGAGTAGTCGAGCCTTCCTCTCGTCGGTCAGAATGGCTCGCTCGCCCCAGCCCAGGCCACACGTCTGGATCCGCGTCTTCCCTCGTCGTCGTCGCCCCCCTCCAGCGCCATCCGCCTCGTCCTCCTCCGCCCTGCCTGGGTTCTCCCGCTCCTCCCGCTCCTCCTGCTCCTGCGCCTGATGCTCCTGCTCTCCCTCCTCCTCCTCCTCCTCCTCCTCCTCCTCCGTTTCCTCCTTCTCCGTCAACTCCGTCCTCATCCCCATGCTTTATGTGACTGCTCTGGTTTCTCTTGGGGAACGCATGTTGTGTGGGTGGGGGGAGGGGGGGGGTGACAGTAACGGCGGCCGCCGCGGCGAGTACTACTACGGATACTAATACGAGGGCGAACACGAGTAGTACGAGTGGCACTACTGGTACTACGAATACTAGTAACACCCGTAACTCTAGCAATGCTGGTAATATTAGTGCGAGTGGTACTAGACGTACGGAATATACTAGTAGGACTACGACACGTAGCAGAAGTAGTAAAACAAACCATAGTAGGTGCAGTAGTAGTAAGAGTAGTAGTAGTAGTAGTAGTAGTACTACTACTACTACTACTACTACTACTACTAGTACTAGCAGCAGTAGTAGTAGAAATAGAGTAATAATAGTAGCAGTAGTAGAAATAGGAATGCGAATCGTAGTAGTAGCCGCAGTGGTCGTGGTAGTAGTAATCGTTGTCGAAAAAGTAGTAGTAGTAGTAGTAGTAGTAGTAGTAGTAGTAGTAGTAGTAGTAGTAGTAGTAGTAGTAGTAGTAATAGTAATAGTAGCAGCAGTAGTAGTAGTCGTAGTAGTCGTAATACTAGTAATAGTAGTACTAATAATAGTAGTAGACGTAGTAGTAGTAGTAGTAGTAGTAGGAGTAGTAGTATTAGTAGTAGTAGTAGTAGTAGTAGTAGTAGTAGTAGTAGTAGTAATAATAGTAGTAGTAATTTCGAATAATAAAGATAGTGGTAGTAGTAGTAGTAGTAGTAGTAGTAGTAGTAGTAGTAGTAGTAGTAGTAGTAGTAGTAGTAGTAGTAGTAGTAGTAGTAGTAGTAGTAGTAGTAGTAGTCGTAGTAGTAGTAGTAGTAGTAGTAGTAGTAGTAGTAGTAGTAGTAGTAGTAGTAGTAGTAGTAGTAGTACTTGGCTCCAACAAAAGTTTCCTTGGAAACTCGCAAGAGGAATAATATGTATGTAAACCCGTCGGCAAGATGAAAAGTCGCGCGCGCGTGCTCAGCGTTCGCACGCACGCGATCCCAAGACGTCCCATGGCCACAACATGCTTCCAGGAATGCCTCAGGCCACGGACGATAACGTCCAGAGGACCCAGGATGATGCCACCCCAACGCGATCCCGCCATGGATTCTGGACCGTCTCAGGCCGACTCGCAGATGACGAAACACATGAGCAACGCGCGACGCCGAGATGGCCCGATGGCAACAAGATGGATCCAAGCGCACCCAGGGTGGCCTCATAATGACCACGCGATGGTTGCGTGATCCAAGCATGACCGGGATATGATCTCAAGATGACCTCAAGACGACCCCGACACGGCAATAATGCTGCAACTTATGAGCCCCATCTTACTTCGAGCCGATCCCAGCATGGTGGGATCCGTGAACGGCCCGGGATTTTGGTCTACCCCATTTTTAATGGGTGGGATTTGGATCGTCCTGAACTAAACTTATAATACTAAAGCGGAATAAGCCAGGCGGGATCCCGCCCGGCCCACGGAGGAAGACAACATTGCTAGGCTTCTACGGGGGTAGGGGGTTCGGAAGGGGCGTCGTTTACTTCCGCTGACATTGGCAGGCCTTCCGGCGGCCTTCCCCCGTCTTCCGCCTAGTTTTGCTTCCGTCGGCTTCCGCCGGCCAGCGTCGTGATGAAAATCCCAGGAACTTTCATTGGGCCGATGTAGTAGTAATAGTAATAGTAGTCGTGGTGGTAGTACTAGCAGTAGTAATAGTAGTAGTAAAAGTAGTAGTAGTAGCAGCAGTAGTAGTAGAAGTAGTAGTAGTAATCGTAGTCGCAGTCGTAGTCGTAGTAGTAGTAGTAGTAGTAGTAGTAGTAGTAGTAGTAGTAGTAGTAGTAGTAGTAGTAGTAGTGACAGTAGTAGAGGAGTAGTCGTTATAGTAGT